AGCAGCAGCAGCAGCGTTGCGGTACAGTAGGAAAAACATAAGAAGACTCGGCTATAGACGTACTTTAAAAAAAACGGTCTTTGATATTTTTAAAGTGTATCATGTAGGTCAACGTTTTACCCATTTGGGCTTGACCAAAAGAATTATTACTTAAAAGAACAACACATAAATGTGTGTTCCTCTAGAGTAGTGCTTCTGGGGAAGTCCGAATGGGCACAACGTTGAAATACATATATTCGTACTTCACCAGAAGCATTACTAAAGCAACACTGTTATGTGTGTTCCTCTACAGATTGTGCACGGTAAGAAATCTCACAAGTTAAACGTAAACTGTGAAAGTCAACGCTTCCAATGAGACAGAGGCTAGCCCTACCTTCAATATAATTATGCGTCATAAAACTGAAGGGTGTCTTTCGCTGCCTGCCTTCTGACCACACAGTTTTCCTTAAATGTTTTAGAAAGTAAAGAATATTATTGTACTGGTTCTTGTGTTTTGTCTGTGTGTGTGCGTGTGTGTCTGTATGTGTGTGTATGTGTGTGTGTATGTGTATGTGTGTGTGTGTATGTGTGCAAATGAGTGCGTGTCTGCGTGTGTGAGTGTGCATTAATGATAATAATAATAGATAGCATTTGTATAGCGCGTATCCCCGCGCAGCAGCAGGCTCTATGCGCTTTACACTATATTATTACCCCTGCAGACCATAGAACACTCCGAAACATTCTCAGCTTCGCGGGAAGCATACAGTGCAAGCAGCCGATTAAGCGCTCAAACACTAACAAACTGACAAGATCTTTCGCTGTCTATAGCCGGGTACCCATTCCCACCGGGGTGAAGTGAGGAAAATTCGTGTAAAGTGCCTTTCCCAAGGACACAACGTCGGGCCCTTGACGGGATTCGAACCAACGACCTTACGGCTGCGAGTCCGAGAGCCTAACCACTAGGCCACCGACGAATAAGATGAATATTTGGAGTGATTTTCTTTTAGTCAGAACACAACGTTTTAATAGTTTTAGTTTTAGGTTACTGTTGTATGTTGCACTGTATTGTAAAGCGCCCAAAGCCTGTGTACTTTTATCGGGGTTGAGTGCTATATAAATGTAATTTATTTTTATTATTATGATGATACTGATAATGAAATTGTTAAAGATAATGATACTGATACTGATACTGATAATAATAATGATCGTGATAATAATAATGATCATGATACTGATGCTGATGCTGATAATGGTAATGATACTGACGCTGGTAATAATAGTGATACTGATAAAGATAATGCATCTGCATAAGGTCATAGGAGCACCAAGGGGTGGATATCAACAGAAGAGAATCAGACTTACTCTGCTCACCTCTCTAGCTTCAACAGCACAAAGTCTGCTTCGACTATCAGGACTCCTGGAAATAGAGGGTCACAAGAGTGTGACAAATTTACAAAAGAAGTAGAGAAAAATTGATGGTAGTAAGGATTAGGAAAGAAAAAGCAGAAGTTCCCTGTTGCAATTCCGGCACAGTAAGAGCATGTCATCGATGAATCAGCCCATTTACAATTCTACTGTGCAACAGAACATGGCAATGTCCCCCCTTTGGGAATGTCCTAAAGACACTTCAATCAGTGGCACCGCCCTGGGGGGTATAATGTATGCATATGTATTCGTGCCCGTTTAATTCTAGCTTTGTTGACCACTTACAGTTTATAATAGATCTAGTTGTGCTCTTTTTTTTTTCTAACTTTATAATGCGTCGTTTTCAGGCAGCCCCTACCGACCACTCATAGTGGACCCAGTGAACGTGCGTGTATCGGGCGGCTGGCGGCCGTACCTGGACGAGAAGGGAGTGATTCCTCTCAGGGTGAATAAAGAGAAACATCTACCCTTTGATGTGTCTGAGGCTGGGCCAGGTAGGTTTGGTGTTGTG